TAAACCCTTCCCACACTCTTGCAATATTCTGAACAATGTTTCTAAACGCACTAAGGGCAAGGCCCAGGGGCCAAATATGGCCCTTGGTACCAAATTATCTGGCCCCCCAAGATATTTAAAAAGTAAAATACTTGTATTGCTTCTCATTTTACTTTTAAACTGAGCATATACTATATTTAGTGCAGACTTCTCGTGACAGGTGGCTAACTTTGAAGCCAAGAAAAAGTAGTTGGAATTTTTCCATATTCTTTGATTTTGATGTGGAAAAACAGGAAAAATGCCAAATGAGATCTATGTTTTTTTATGTTTAGGAAGCTACAACCAAGAAAAGATGTCCAGTATCTAAATGGAGTTAATGTATTGACAAACTTGCCCTTGGTTTGAAATACATTTAAAATTACCCCCCCCCCCCCCCCCAAAAAAAAATCTTGTCATGATTTCAGCTTGGTTGCACTCTCGGCCACGCCCACTTCTCGCTACAGAGCGGAGATCAGCTGATCAGCTACAGAAGGAAGCTTCTCCCACAGCTATGGGCTGCACAAATGTGCAGCAGGTGCTAAATAATTTAAAATAATTTATTTTAAATAAAATTTCATGCCAATCGTGCGGTTCATCCATCAGTCAAACCAATTGTGTGTCATGTCCAATCTTATTTTGAAAACCCGCCATCGAGTGAAGGACTACTGTATTTTAATTACCGTAGTGGTGTAGTCTACATGACACGCACGTATATGGCGTATACCCATTAGAAACGCTTGGGAATTTCAGTATACCCACCTAAAAGTGCCCAGTGATACATGACATGTCATTGTCAATACGTGGAACATTTTATAGACACGTTGAGTTGGTTCAACCTGTTACATGTTTTGCTTTGATACTGATTTATAAAATCTATAACATGTTTTTAATACAAAGCCAACTGTTGTACAAAGTTTGTTGTACATTTGTTCAAATATAAGCATCAGAAAAATTTGGAAATGTTCAATACGCTTAAAAATCAAAATAAATTGATGATTACATTGTACTAACCAGTACAAAAATGTCGACTACACCACTGATTATTACTGGTAATCTTTCTCAGTTTATCGTGCACAGATCAATCACTGACCAGGCAGTGAACACGTCTTGAACATTTCAATTTAGGAATTTAGGCTGAATAGGACTTTATTTATTCATTGACAAGTTTCACATTGGATCTGTGGTGAAATGCTGTTTCCTCACGTCTTCAGCAGACACTGAATAAAACTCACTTCAAAACGTGTTGGTGAACGTTGGCGACACGTGGAGCAGTGAGACGCTATCGTTGAGTTAGCTCCGCCGTCCTTCAGGATCGGTGTAAAACACCTGCTACATTCTGCCGCAGGAGGGCCGAGTCGAACGTCACCGGGCTGTTGAGCAACAACGGCTGGTGGGTGATTGGTGGAGGCCACGGCCCGGGGCCCGTCTATCATCTGGTGACAAACGTCCATCTGGAACGCACATTCTGACCTCGAGTCAACGGCAAATACTTTAAACAGCCTGCGGAGGAATAAAACTACGCCTGCTGTCTTTGGAGCTTCGAGACATTCTGCTCTGAAGACGAAGCTCTTTGGATTTCATGTTGTGGTGCACGGCACGCTCCACTGAAGCCGACGGCTTCTCCATAACAGACGAGCTGAAGCAAAGCTAAATGCTAACCCAGCAGAGGGGACGGGGGGTGTTAGTGCAACAGAAACATCCGCTCGTTGTGTTTGCGCAGGTGGTGAAGAACAGGCGGGGGACACAGGTCATCGTAGCAAAATGGCATTTTTTTATTAGACACTTTGATGTTAGAACCGTTTTAGCTTCGACGTCGGTAAAATTTCAGACACTGCGCTTCAATAAATTAGTGTCGGAACCGCACAGTCCCTGTCCCTTCAGCGCGCTGCGTCGGTGCTCGCAGGTGTAACCGGAGCAGCGTGTCCTCCGCCTTACCTCGGCAAGGTTGGAGAAACAAAAACGCCTCGCTGAGTGTGGCAACATGGGGGGGGGGGGGGAGTGCACATTTCACAAGCTTTGCAACTGTTCAACGTTAACCTGAAACACAACTGAAGTGCAGTGATGTAACTCTGAAGGGGGTGGGGGGGACACTGGCCGTTTGTAACATTTTACAGCAGTAACAAAATTAGATTTAAACAGAGGAGCTCAAATCATGAATGTTACACATTTTACTGCGTTTGCTTGAAAACTTAAAAGTCACTTGAGCCCAGGTGGGTCAGAGCATGTGATGGAACCAAAATGGTGAAAGAGCCTCAACGGTCCAGCACGTGTCAAAAATATGTGGATTTTCTCCTCAGAGGGAGACGGTTCCTGCATTCCTGTCAGCAGATGATGCGCACAGTCAGGTTACGGAGTGAGTAGGGGGAAAGAAGAAAGAAAAAGTGCTTAAACTGCCCACGAACGTTGCGCCATCGTACAAAACATTCCACGTCAAAGCTCGTCCTTCATGCCACACCGACGGACCGTGCTCCTGTAAGGCCATAGCTGGCTGTGTTTGTCCCAAAAAGAAAAAAAATTCAAGTGCAATCAAGTGTTTCCTATAAAACATGTACCGGTATCTGTCACACATATAACACAGGGCTATTCAAACTGGTGGCCCGGGGGCCAATTCAGGCCCACGGGTGAGCTCAGTTTGGCCCACCAGTGGGTTCATTTTTAAATAAAACTAGATTTTAAACTGTAAAACAAACTTAATGACAATAGCTGTTGGACGTCCGGCCCCTGAGCTCTTGGCTTCAGTAAGTGTGGCCCCCTGAGCAGCTGAGCTGAATAGCCCTGCTCTAACAGGTTGAGTCATGCATTAAGGCACTGCAGCTGAATGTTTGGTAAAAACTGAAAAAGGCTGTTTTCTTCTAAAAAATAAAAATATCACTCCTTTCTTTGTCATGCACATAGATTCAAACACTCCTGTAAAAGTTATATATAATATATAAGAAAACTCTTATGTACAGTCAAAAGTTCAAATGCATATTTCTCTTTGTTTATCCCCCCACAAATTTATAAACTGTACATGACCCCCTACATTTACACGCTTCAATGTCACATCATTTTGGAGCTAGAACTTTTTTTTACTGGTCACCTCCCAAAGGAAGGTTTTTAAACTATGTACAGCTGATACGCTCAGATGGGACGCCACCCACACAAGCTCCGCCTTCAAACGCCGGACACTCCTTATACATATCCCCCCTCTTTCCCCTTCTGGTGCTCCCGGTAAATCGTGATGCGGGAGGCTGGGGACCGTTGCCCTCGATATGAGGTAGCAGTTTATTTCCCAGTGCAATGAAAGAAAACAGTTTATATTTCGAGCTGCTAGTCGCTGGCTCTCCTCAGGGGGGCGCTCTCACTCTGACAGGCTCGGAGGACGTATCCGTTGGACAACAGAGTCTGCCTGAGCTCAGGCTCACAGTCCGTGTCCGGGCACCCGCGGCCCGCCACGCCGCCCAGCTTCACCGGCTTGTGGAAGGAGGAGTCCTGCATGTGTCCCGATCTGCTCACTGAGGAACAAACAGATGGGGGGGGGTTCAATATTCTGACACGTATATTGACAAATATGCATTCAGCTTGAGGAAGGCGAGGCGGTGGAATGTGTGTATAGATTTGCGGTGACATGTGGAGGTGAGAATTGCTATTCAGAGACTGATTCCACTCGTACAGCTCCCCTGACTACAGGAGTCCCGGAGCAGGCCTGGACCTGCCTCGGCAGGAGTTTGGCAGCGCTCACAACTCTCGTCTGTGTTTTAGTGTTGTTGCTTCAGCTCTGCGTGCAACAACGAGACACCGTCAGCTGCGAGCAGGACACAATCGATCAGCTAACAGGCTGGATGGAGTTCTGCTTGACAAGGATTTCTGAACAAAATCACCTGACACTGGTGATGCTCCTGTGGGAGAGCAGGCCTTTAAAACGTGTTCTGGATTTATGGTTTGGGCCTGGAAGCATTTGTTCTGAACCCGAGCACCCCCTGACTTGCTTTCAGGTCGTAAAAGTACATTTCAAGTCTTCACAAATCACTGTACCTTTTCTGTCCTCTTGGCTCGGCTGTATCGTGTTGTGGTTTTTGGGAAACGTGGTTCCTTGAACGCCTCTTCGGACCTCGTGGGGAGAACCGTTGCAGAGCGGGGCTCTGTGTGACCCGGTGTGGCGCTGCTCCTCGGGGTGACGGTGGGAATAAGGTGGGGGAGCGAGCTGCTGGTACTCTGCGCCTCGAGCGGAGTCGAGCCCGTGGGCCAGGTAGTCGTGATCTATGGAGTAGCTGCTCTCCAAGCAGTCTGTGCACATCACTGGGCCGTCGAACGCTGCGGGGTGGGAGGAGGGAGAAGTCATTTCCAGGCAGTAAATCAACACTTGTAATTATTTTTGACTCGGAGCAGGTTTATACAAACAGGAGCTGCTGGGAAGACAAATATTTGGAGGACGCAGACGGACAGGTACCTGTGGTGTCTCCTACATGTCCGTTGGGCTGAGGTCCACCTCCGACCTCCACACGGAGACACACGTCCTGCCGCTCAGACAGAGTACCCTGAGAGGACAGGTAGCTGGGGACGTCTGGAGGGACAATTGTCTCATCTGGGACAGATAAACAATCTGTTTATACTTTGCACATGTTAACCAATAAGGTAGGGTCAGAGTGATCTAAAGTCACCTGTGTTGGTCACGCTGCACTCTTCGCTCTTCTTCCTGGTCTGATAGATGATGCACACCCACACCAGCGATGTCGCCACAATGCTCGTGACCACGGCAATGACGATGATGCCTATAGTGATGGTGCTCAGGCCCGTAGATGTCACGCAGGCGCTCCTGCGCTGAGTCACCACGAGCTGGCTGTGAGCGCGCTCCGTGCCCAAGGTGTTGGACATGAGGCAGGTGTAGCGGCCGGCGTCCTCCAGCGAGGCGGAGCTGATGATCAGCAGTTGGTTCCCCGGGGTGAAGTGGTGCCTGTCAGAGGGACGCAGCGGCTGGTCGTTGCGCAGCCAGGTAATGCGGGGAGGTGGGCTGCCGAGGGCTTTACACTGCAGGGCCACGGTGTCTCCAACCACCTTGCTGAGGTCCTTCAGGTCCTGGGCCAGGCGGGGGGATTCTATGGAACATGGGAGCGATAGATTCCTCATGAAATGCTGAGAAGCTGCAGGATTCCTGATGATATTCCTATTAGTAATAACTAGGGATGCACGACATTGGATTTTTGGCTGATATGATAAAACTTATTTTGCCGATAACCGATACCAGTACAGATATCGTTTTTCCAAGCCCTACTTACAGACACTACATATCTTTCTCTGCTGTGGAATTAAAATACTACATCATTCTGCATGGTCTTTGTCAGTTGGGCCTGCTACCAGATGCAGATGCTAAAAAGGGGTCTGAAAATGATGCAACACTTCAACTTGAAATATGTTTAATGTCAAATTTAGTCATGACGTTTACTCGCTCTAACACAATGACAACACTCAAACAGTGCAAATTTGTAAATGTTTACAAATCAAAACTCAACGACGCGCATGATGTCATAGCGTTGTGCTGGCACTGCAGGCGTCCTTGTCACTGGGTTGTCATACAAAAACAGTGCCTTTAATATATACGAGTATATATATATATATATATATATATATATATATATATATATATATATGTTAGGGCTTTAACAGACTACTCGAGCAATTTACACATCAATTCCTAGGACATCTATCGAGTTTTTTAATTTCACATCGAGTATTCGTGGTGACGTCATTATGTCGCCATTACGTCATTGCAGGTCCAGTCTTGGCAAACAAGTAGAAATGCATCAATAGTCTGGAAATATTTCACTAAAGATGGATCTTCCGGTTCAACTACCGTAAGGAAACAGAAAATGAATCAACTTCCTGACTAGAGCTGATGCGAACCGGTGTTACACCATATTTTGTGACCACCGTATACTGTGACCATAGGGGGCGGTGTTGCACGCACTGTTGCAGGTCACAGAATATGGTGTAACACCAGGTCCATTCGACTGAACCAGAACCAGCTTCCTCTGACCTTGTTTCACAAACAAAAAGCAAAAAATACTAATCTCTAAACCTATAAAAAACCTATAAACATATTAATCTCTAAAACTAAACCTAATGCACACCACAGCTGGCGGTGGTGCGGGGTAGTCGTCCGCCCCACTGTTTTTAGTTTCATTTTTGACGTGCCGGACGTTTCTTCACTTTTGCAGCTTAATAATAAAAACTAATAGTTTACAACAAAGTCCATGCTCAATAATCCAGGTATAAAATCCAACATTTTCCAGTCAGGTCATCTGGACAGTTTCTTTTTTTGTGCTGAAACGTTTCGCCTTCGATCCAGAAGGCTTCATCAGTCAAGGAAACGCACAACAAAACTGATTCTTCCTCCAACAGCTTACTCCAAAGTGGAACAAACCAGTTCTGTTTGTGATAAGATGGTCTCTTTGGTACGCCCCTCCTCCATTGCCGGCCCTCTTCCTTGTTGACAGTCTTATCAAACTGGTTGAAAACAACAAAGTCTATGCTCAACATGCTTCCACTTTGGAGTAAGCTGTTGGAGGAAGAATCAGTTTTGTTGTGTGTTTCCTTGACTGATGAAGCCTTCTGGATCGAAGGTGAAACGTTTCAGCACAAAAAAAGAAACTGTCCAGATGACCTGACTGAAAAATGTTGGAACTAATAGTTTAGTTTTTCCTGTGACTTATTTGCAGTGTGATATATGCTCCCAATGTTTTGTTGGTCTTTTTTTGTAAACAATGACCCTTTTTGCGTTTTTATTTATTTATTTATTTTTGTATCTTTAGATGCTATGAAGTAATCAAGTACTCGAGTTCTACTCGAGTTTTATTATGTTAATGTCGAGTTTAAAAATGATGTAGTCGTTCAACCCCTAATATAAAAACAGTGCCTTTTATATTGGTGAGTTATTTTAATGGAATGGCTGATGTCCGATATTTAACTTTATTGCTAATATTGGCCGATACTGATACCATGCCAATAATATCGGGCATCCCTAGTATCCGCTTAATAATAAGCTCAAAGATGATGTTTGCACTCTCAGTTTTCTGTCTTTGTTAAGCTCGTCAATTACAAACTGCAGGATCCCGGTGTCTCAGACGGACACACCGAGCACAGACTGAGGAAGTCTGATGTGAAAACATTTACAAACACTGATCCTCTGATATCTGAGATTATATCTCAGATGGAACGCCGATAAACTCTGACAGCAGATAACGTTCTAGCACAACACACTAATAAGATTTCTCTTGGGACAGAATCTTCTTCAGAACAATGTTTTCAGTGTTTCTCTGAGCAACTTCACATTCCACTGAAAGAAACCCACTGAGCTCTGTGTGTGTGTGTGTGTGTGTGTGTGTGTGTGTGTGTGTGTGTGTGTGTGTGTGTGTGTGTGTGTTGGCCTCTCAGACTGAACACTTCCCCTCACAGTGGGACACACAGATTAAGAGATTTCACTTAACCCACTTCAGCCGCTCATTTCTCCTCTATCAATACTTTCCCCAGCTCATCAACCCCCCCCCCCCCTCCTCCCACTCCTCGACTCTTACATCTCAAACATTTTTTTCTCCCCCAACTCTTTTCCAGACAGGGGTCTCTCTGAAGCGCCCTCCCACCACCACGTTTCTAAAACCCACACGTCACAGCTTCAGTAGTTTACCCTCTGAGCTGATCGGTGCTCCGACAGTCTGACACCCTGAACACAGAACCTGTTGCTCCTGAACTCCAAGACCCCCCCACCCTGTTATTTTTGTTTAGTTTTAGCTGTGTGACAACAAGCTGCTCTGCTCCGTTGGAACACAAAGAACAAAGCTGATCTGTGTGCTCAGAAACTTAACGGGAGAGAAACTGGGTTTGTTGGGTTGGAGTGTAAAACAGCCAATAAACTGGGAGCACCGAGGCCTTCGGCGAGGCAGCCATCACTGTCCCTTCCACCCAGAAAGGAGCAGGGGGTGGGAATGCCTAACAAACACCCCTCTGTGAGTCTCCCTTTCTCCCCCTCCATCCCCCACTTTGACCCCTAACTGTGACCTCTGACCCCTGACCTGCAGCACGGCCGCAGCTGCCGAGAAAAGAAAAATATAAAGCTTCTCATTCTGCGGCCCCAGGCGGACCGATTCCCAACAGAGCGCCCGGCTATTTACAATTCAGCGGTGGGAATATGAGCGACTTGGCGGGAGGAAGAACGAGGCAGCCAACAGGAAGTGGGAGCTCTCACCCAGCACGGTGAGGGTGGCGTTGGCCGAGATGGCGCCCGCGGTGTTTTTGGCGGTGCAGCTGTACACGCCCATGTCTTCGAGTTTGACGTCCGTGATGAAGAACACGTCGTCGTCGGGCATCACGTGCATTCTGCGCTCGCGAGCAGCGGGGAAGTCCGTGCCGCCGTCCTTCTGCCAGGCGATCTCTGGCGTGGGGTGGCCCTTGGCGGCGCACTCCAGCCTGGCGGTGTGGCCCGTTCGAATGGTGCTGTCCGTGGGCGTCTTCACGAAGGACGGCAGTTCTGTGGAAGAAGGAGAACTTTACGTTGTACTGACTTCATGTCATTTTAGCAGAATCTTTTTTTTTTTTTGCAAAAAAACTTAACAGATGTTGAGGATTATGGAGCTACTCGTTCTGTTCTCAAACACATTCTTCCAGCTGCTGCTGGCGTTTACTCCCAGGAACTTCCGGCCAGAGGCCCACAGATCAAATCCTGCAGGTCTTATTTTTCCAACAGGTCATTTGACAATAGACTTTTTCACTTTTACTAATGTTATCAGAAGTGAGAGTAAATGATAACTAGGGATGCACGATATTGGATTTTTGGCCGATATCTGATTTGTTAAAACTTATTTGGCCGATACCAATACCAATATTGTTTTTCCTAGCCCTACTTACAGAGACTACATATCTTTCTCTGCTGTGGAATTAAAATACTACATTATTCTGCATGGTCTTTGTCAGTTTGGCCTGATACCAGATGTAGATGCCAAAAAGGGGTCTGAAAATGATGCAACACTTCAACTTGAATTATGTTTAATGTCAAATTTATTCATGACATTTACTCTCCCTAACACGACAACACTCGAACAGTGCAAATTTGTAAATTTTCACAAATTTAAACTCAACAGCACATGTGACGTCATAACGTTGTGCTGGCGCTGCAGATGTCCTTGTTACTGAGCTGTCATACAAAAATAGTGCCATATATATATATATATATATATAAACAGCTCCTTTTATATTGGTGAGTTATTTTGATGGAATGGCCAATAATTAACTTTCTCACTAATACCAGCCGATAGTATCGTGCACCCCTAATGATAACCTTTACAAATAAATCAAACAATAAAGTGTCAGTTCATCATCTTGAAGATGGAGGCCAAGTTACTCCAGTGATACATGCTGAAAAGATCTTGGTCCTCCAAAACACGATCATTGATATCTTTTCAGGGCAACAATCATTGAAAAACAATATTTTTGTCCTTTTTCTGCACATCTGGCAACATACCATTGACGACGACGTGGGCTTTCATAGAGTAGGTGGCGCCGAAGTGATTGGTGATGATGCACTGGTAACGTCCCTCATGGGCAAAGGTGACTTCCCGCAGGTGCAGGATGGTGGTGTACTCCATCACCCCTCCTCCTGCTTCCGGCTCGCCGTGGTGGAGATCGCGCACGTGGGCGTAGTTCTCCATCTCGGCGTGATGAAGCAGCTCCTGGTCCTTACGCCAGGCGAAGGTCATGGGTGAGGAGCTGCTGCTCGCCACTGTGCAGGTGAGACGTGCATCGCTTCCCAGGACCGTCACCGTGTTCTCTGGCTGAACAGTGATCTGGGGCTTAGGGAGGTCGTCTGGGGGGGGCGGAGAATAAGACTTAATGACATGAAGCTAAATTTAAGAGACGGTTGTAAATTGTGCTTACCACACACAAAGCTGCTGATTGGAGCCTGGAAGATGTTGGTTCCCTGCAAGCTCACTGGGTGGGCACAGGTGGCGTTTACACCATCCTGCAGACCATGTGACAACAACCAGCCAGGCAGCCACTGCAGCTGGCAGTCGCAGAGGAAACCGTTGCTCTGAATCAGACTAGAGGAGAAAAGACCAACGTGAGCCGGGTCTCCTGGATAACCACCTCTAACTAAAGCGGACGTTGATTTAGCTGAAGTGGGAGTGTTTGTGCTGCGTTTGTTTAAACAGTACTCACAGGCTCCTGAGGTTTCTCATTTTACTGAAAGCATCAGGCTGAATGGAACGAATCGCATTCTCCCCCAAGTTCCTGTTGGCAAGAAGAAAACAAAATCTGTTCTATTACTGCATAAATTACAGCTTCATGCAAAATCTACCACGAGTCTGACTGTCAGCCATGATGAAAATAATCAGCTTTGTGTCTCTGCCCTCAGTAAAAAAGCTTATAGGAATTCCATGTCTCCTCCTGGGTTCACCATATGCTCAATAACTTAGTTCCTGTGTTGAGATTGTGCTAAGCTAACCAGAGAGAGGCAGCTGGCCGCCTGTAGGAACAGCCTCCGTCTTCTCCTTTTACAACAACGCTATTAAATTGCTGGCGACCTCCACTCTGCCAGCTACTTTTGGCAATCTCAACCTCCTGCCTCCCCCCTCCCCCTCCCGTTTACACCCTCACCTCACTTCCCCCTGCCAGTTCCACTCTTGTAGGATACTCACAGGTGTTCCAGGGTCTCCAGGCCAGCGAAGGCCTTCTTGGCCACTGATTTGATCTTGTTTCCAAACAGAGTGCTGCCGTTCCAGAACACGAAGGGCGCCGAGTGATGAGGAGCGAGGGGAGAGGAAGAGGGAGTGAGAAGAGGGAGCAGGGCGAGGGGAGAAGAGCACAATTAGTGAGGCTGAATCTGATAAGAGAGAAGGGATTGGGGTATTGGAAATCTGAACTGGGTGGAGATTAGCCACAAGAAAGGGTGAGCGAAATTGAATGGTGCTGCGGTTGGGTTGGAGAGGAAGGGGGGGTGGCACCTGGGGTCTGTGCTGCTACTCTTCAAAGACCACTTTTATCTTTATTAGAATTTAACAGCAATGACCAGACTCGGCTGTGTGTGGCGTGGTGAGCGTGTACGAGCGTTCATGCAATCTTCTGAGTGGATGTCGCCTGTCAGGTGGAGAAGTGAGTTGTTTCTCTCTGATCTGGGGGTCGAAGCCCCTCGTCCACCCTCTGCTGTGGTTTTACTTCACAGGAAGAGGAGACACGGCTGGGTGGCTCACCATCAGGACCCCAGTGTTCAAACTCATCCAGACTGAAAACCCTGCCCTGTCACAGGGATGAAGAGGCAGCTCCTTCGTGACTTCTGTTTTAAAGGAATTTAATTAAGCTAAGAATAAAAAGAATAAAACCTGCGCCTCCATCCTTCATGGCTGTGTTGATAAGCTGCTTTAAGGGAAGCAATTTTGTGTGCTGGACACTTTGATGTCCCCTTCTTTTCTACTATTTATTTTCCCGTGGCTCAGTTTGACAGCTTCGGGATGCAGCGAGCTGCTTCCGCCAACGCCATGACAAAAAGGAGGGGGGGGGGCAGGGTCAGAGGGCAGGGCGAGAGAGGCGTTTGATGTTTGATGACTGAATACAGCCCTCAATTTTACCCTCTCTCAGTTCCTTACAACAGAGAGTGGGAACGAGGGGACTAGAAAAGAGGCGGCGTGAAGGAAAAACAGCAATAAGCCTATTGGGGAGGGAACCCCTGCCAGCTGAAAGAAAAGCCCCTTCTCTGCCTTATTCTCTGGCTCTTTCTTTCAGCGGCGCACACACTGGGAACCATCTTGGCTGGACATCATCTTTTTGTCCTGCAGGTTGATGATTGGCGCTTAGAAACTTCACGCTCGCTGCAATTTTGCAATTCACTAACTTTTTACAATAACACTTTTTTTTTCTTTACATGGAGCTCCATGAATTACTGAAAAACTGATACAGGATTCACTGTATTGGCTTCTTGAACCGTTATCTGCAACGATAACCTGATTTGCTCCTAAAGATTAAAAGAGAGAAATGGGACTAAAAGTTTAATTGAACGTTTTATCAGAAAACTTTCCAAACAAAAGTTATAATAAAAGGTGGCAGATATCTACACTTTACAGCCTGAGAGATTTTAGCTGGCAGTACAGAATGAACAGGGACTTGGATGGAAACTTTTACACAAATTTGTGAACGCTCACTTTTTTCCTTTTTTGTAGAAAAGCAGAGAGAACCCCAGAATAGTGACAGGATGTTGGAGAAATGAAAAGGAACTGAGGACGGAGCAAAAGAAGAGAGGGGGAGGACTCACAGCTTCTTGAGTTTGTCCAATCCAGAGAAGGCCCCGTTGGTGTCTTCTATTGTGCCTGAGATGTCGTTACGGTCCAGCTCCCTGTGGAGAAGGAGAGAAGAGAGAGGGGATAAGAAAAATGAACAGAGTCTGCCATCACTGAAGGGTTTCAAAGTCCTGGCAGAGGCTGTTCTAGAAGTCACCCCCCCCCACCCCCGCACCTGGCCTTAAGAGACCCTCTGCTGCTCTGCTCTGCCAGTCAAGCACAATGTTTCCTCACAGAAGTAGAGAAAAGGTGAGCATGTGAGGATGAGACAAACCCCAGCACAAGGAAACGCATATTTAATTCATGAAGGCAGAGAGGGACTGACGAGAGCACAAAGTCTTGTAAGAGGCCAGACGGTTGGAGGCGATGGAGGCAGGTTCGGTGCAGCCAAGACTTTTAATGGGGTGTGGGGCCAGGCTTAGCCATGGCTGGGCAAAGGGATAATAGAACCAAGGAGTAACAAAGAGAAAAGGGGAATTGTTTTACAATGATTTGGGGGTTTCCAAACCCTTGTTGACTGGATCTGCGTCCTCCTGTGAACAGCCACCTCTGAGGTGAAGCACTGCCCGTCTGCACGGCCAGCAAACAGAAAAGCAACACAGAACTCATCTGAAAACTTCAGTAGACTTTCTTCCAAACTTGAGAAATGCTTTTGAGGTTGATGGTCAGCTACACCCTCCATAACTTCTCCCCACACCCCCACCCCTTGCTTTCCAAGCATCTTTTATCCCCCTCTGGTTCTTTTCAGCCTCCACTGGCTGCTGTCTGAGTTGGACCCGAATGTGGCTGCCAAATTCCTACTCTTTCTGGCTGGCTGGATGTGAATGGCCATTGCCTCGTTAAAGCAAGGCCAAGGGTGAGGTGGGGGCTGGGGGGCTGCGGCGCAAGAGAGCCTAGCTAAAGAAGGCCCTACGAGCCACCGACCCCCATGGCCGAATTAGAGGCCAGGCTGGCTTGTTTGGAGCTTTCACACCCTGATGCAGACTCCAGCCCCAAGCCAGCAGCACAGGCCCAATTAAAGCTCCCCAGCTCCCTTTCAGGGTCCTGCCTATGGCTGCCCCCCCTCTGCTGATTAGATTAGGTCTGCCTCAAAAGACAGAGGAGTTTACCTAGATAAGTAATTTAAAACATCCTATTCAATCAAAACTGTATTTATTAGGAGATTAAAAAATAAAAGACTAGTGAGTGAGTCGGACCTGTGTGCCTTGGCTCGTCACCTGCTGGGACAGAGCTGGTTAGGGGACCTCTGGCACATCTCGCCTCTTTGGCTTTTTCACCAGGAAGCAGCAGAGCCAAGAGAAGCTTGGTCAACAACCAAGACCCCCCCAAGTCTTTCTGACAGATTTATCGAAAGACTTTTTCTTTACTTTTTTGTGCAAAAGGTGGAAGGAAAAGAAATCTTTGCCTTTCACTGTCTTTTTAAAGGAAGGAGAAATATCAAAAGAGCCAAACAAACTGGAACGTTCTGATCCGAGCTGGTTTGGACACAAAATCCAACGCAAGAGCAGAAGTAATAAAAGAGAGGAAACTAATGAAGACAACAGACATCTAGTGGCACCAATAAAGGACAATAAACATAAACAAGATGTTTTAGAATTAAAAGATCCTGCTTTGTAAAGGAAGAGGCTTCATAAGCTTCAAAATCAGAGATCACACAGACAGAAATTAAACAGCTCAGCTTTCACTGCTGCCAAATGGCATGGCTACGTCTTATCTTCAGCAGGAGCAGAACTTTAATGGAGGGGGGGGGGGGGGGATACTTACAGGGTGCGTAGGGCCTTGAGACCCCGGAAGGCTCCCTCACTGATATGGCTGATGGAGTTGTGGCCCAGCTGAAGGGTATGGAGATCCCCCAACACAGCCAGACTTCCTTCATCCAGGCGGCTCAGGTTGTTGTAGGACAGATTTCTAAAGAAACCAAAAACAGAAGACAAGAGACAAGTTTGGTGTGAGGTCTGGAAGGAGATGACAGCTTGCAACATCATTATACTTCAATTTCACGGCTGATTTGAAAAAAGTTTGCAGCTCGGAGACGTGTTTTTCCAATGTGTCTCTTCCCCACTACAAGCTGTTAGCAGAGAACGAGTTTAGCAGACATCTGAATTATTGGTAGAACTTTACATGGCTATAACTTCCATTTATAAACCTCCTTGGGCTTGTGGTAAACCCCCGGGAAACACAATGTCGCTCAGACCCAAACGTTACAATTAAGCTGCTCTTTTCTTCCTTAGAAACATGAAGAACTAAAATGGGATGTGAACGCCACAGAAAATACTTCTACCTTTACAAGCAACTGTAACGACTCAAACTTTATATATTTCCTGTAAAAAAAAAAAAAAGATTACTGATATAACAATAGTGGTACCACTTTACAATAAGGCTCCCCTTATAGATGTTAATAAATAGTTTCAATATATGCTTTTAATTTCTCTATAAACACTTTATAAATCATAAATAACTGCTTATTGTGCATTAATTAAGGGTGAAAGAGACAAAACTGACCAGTTTCTTGTCAAATAGTGAACCAAATCTGTTCACCTATATATTTCATCTAGAGTTGTTATATTAAACATTTCAGACCAAGTTAGTACCTTGTAAACACAATAAGCATTTGTAAACCGATTTTTTTAGGATATAATATTGCACTTTATCACTGCATTAAAAGTATCTACAACTAATATTATATCCTAAAAAAATGATGTTTACAAACACTTATTGTGCTCACAAGGTACTAACTTAGTCTGAAATGTTTAATATAACAACTCTAGATGAAATATATAGGTGAACAGATTTGGCTCACTATTTGGCAAGAAAGTGGTCAGTTTTGTCTCCCTGTCACCCTTAATTAATGCATAATAAACAATTATTAATGATTGATAAAGTGTTTATAGAGGAATTAATAACATATCTATAAACTATTTATTAGCCATCTATAAGGGGAGCCTTATTGTAAAGTGGTACCCAATAAATTATGTGTCATTATTTTTCAGACAGTGCTCACAGGCAGTGCTGTGTATTTTATTGTCCTGTGTGGCCTCAGGTGTGCTTGAGCAGTCATGTGTGCAGAGATTCATTGTGATGACCAGCTCAGCCAGGCGCATTGGGAATGCAATAACAGGCTCCTCATAAAGACAAGTCATCCACTTCTATCAGCTGGTTGGGTCATCAGAACCCAATATAATAAAAATCATGTAGCCGGTTACTGCTGCGGTGCCGGGCGGTAGATTCAAGAACAGCACAGGGAGCAATCTGCCATTCAAAAGATGTGCACACAGGAAACGGTGCTGAGCTACCCAGAGCAAACTGGAACGTTCCCCATCCCCACTTTATCCCTTCAGACTGGTGCGCGTAAACAAGCGCAGGCGCCACAGACGGCCCGGGCTGCCCTGTCGTTACCAACGCCTGAGCTGAGCAAAGCACTTTAAAGCTGCATTACGACACTCATGTCAACAGCACCGGAGAGAATTTCAGATAATAACTCGGTAGACAAAGGCGGTGAAGGTGATCCTGGAGTGTAATTATCACAATACAAACAAGTGAGGATTACAGGCCGGTTTGCCAAAACCCCACGCTTCAAAACCGAGTACAAAAACTCTTGTCGAAGGGCTTGTGTGCTGTTGAGCCCGGCTCTAATTATGGGATAAACAGGCTTATCCTGAGAACAGCAGAGCACACCGAGTGTTAAAGCAAGAAGTCATTCAGCCCTGGAGAAGGTAAACTGAGAGTGTGAGCTTCTCAAGGTGTCCAAACGTTTTCATACGTGGGTCAAAACTATCCAGATGAAAGGACTTGTGGGCCACAAAAATGTGAATTGAACTCTCAACGTGAACAGTATTTTGGAGAAAGGACAAAAGTTGATTAATTTTGGTGGCGAAAGAGTTTTAAATTGTAGATCCAAAACATTAAAAGCATCATAAACACTAAGCTTGTATTTTTTATTATAAAGGATTTGATTTATTTGATTTGTTGGGACTATGTTTGTTATTTTCTTGTGTTTGGAAAGTTCATTTTAGTCTGTTCTCAACAACAAAAGCATAATTTGAATCCTTTTAAAAGGGGGTCGATCAGCCTTTAGGACCATGGACGGCCCAAAAGGCTGATCCAAGTTCTGAAAAATCGTCCAGCTGTCAGTCGTTACAACAGATTCATAGAAGGTTTGATGAAGTTGATCAACTCGTATGTAGATGATACCACGTTCTATTCACTTAAAAATGTCAAATTTCCCTATTGATTATTTTATCAACTGCAATATTTATTTAAGTTTTATGACTCATCATCTAAAAGTCTCCTTTCTGGTAGAAATCAGAAAAAGTTTGTTTTGATTTGTACCATGAAGTGAAAATAAAAAAATATATAGCCAAAGGTTTGTGTTTTGTTTAACATTGCTCGTTTTGAGAAGATTGTTTTTATTTTGTTTCGCTGTTAAACCTAAACACTATATAAAAAAGGATTACCAACTAATTTGCAGAAAGTCTGCATCGACCTCTGAAGCCTGCAGGACAAAATGATACCATTCTTAAACTGCAGCTGTGGGCCGCACAAAATCACACCAAGGGCCGCAAATGACCCTCGGGCCGCACTTTGGGCACCCGTGGTTTAAGACGTAGTTTACATCACTAAATGCTAATGAAAATTAAACCTTTAGTGTACAGTTGTAGGAATTTAAACCACGCTGGCAAGAACAAACAAAAATAAAAGATAATTTGGCACAAGAGGCTGACTGTTGAGGCTCATTTACTCACAGTTCCCTTAATTTATGGCAAAACTTCCATCCATCAGGGTTGATGCGAGCAATTGAGTTTTTGCTGAGGAAGAGTTGCGTCAGGGAGCTCAGGCCGTACAGGGAGCCGCTGTTCACCTCCGTCAGGTTGTTGTACTCCAGGTGACTGCATGAGAAAAAACAGCAGGAAGATTAGTTCATCCACAGTTTCAGGCAGTGCATGTGGCATTTTTGCACCTGGGAAGAGAGGATGTTATTTGAACGCTACTTGTGACTATTACCACAAAGGCTTGTGAGTAACTTCGTAATTACACGTGTTTAAGTGTTTTATCTCAAAAAGTTCTTTATTTTACTACATACAGGACTTTCATCTTGGCCAGGTCCCAGAAGGCTCCGTCAGTCAGTTTGCTGATGCTGTTCCTCTGCAGTTTAAGCACCTCCAAACTGGACAAACCCTGGAAGGTCAGACCCTCTATCTGATGGATACGGTTCCTGTTCAGGTCTCTGTGGAGTTAAGAAACAGAATAAAAACTCTGACAGAACACCTGAAAACAGAGCAGCAGTTTTTCCTCCAGTGCATTCTGCTCTTATTTTAAAAAGGACATTCATTAACTCCAAGTTGAAGCACTCAGTTTTGCAGCTTGCACTCTTCCAGTAAAGACCTCTCTCTTTGGTGTGTGTTGCTCTGGTCACATTAGTGATAAGAAAAGAGGGATGAGCTGAAAATCATGATATAAGATGCTATAAAACTAAACCTGGTCTCTCTCTGCATCCAACACTGAACTGCACAGCTGCTGAGTGTGTGAAGGCTGTAAAAGCCCCCAGGCTCGCAAAGATAAACATCCATACAGGTTCTTTTGTGTCCAGCATGCATCACCACTAGAATGGGAAGATACAGTGTCACTGGGGCCACCTGTTCAACAAAAGGCACCTGGGGAACCTGCCGGAGCCACAATAAGGGGGGAGACTACCATTACACGTGTTGTCTTTGCTCTCTGAAATGGAGGTGTTGAGCTACAAATGGGATCGGCCTCACGGTGATGCTGGAGGGAAGTTTGACAAAGATAATGGAGCATGCTACGGGGACTGAACAAACCACTTTGGGGATATGGAGGAAGGCAATAAATCACTAATAATATGAGCCTGGTGTTTACCTTGTCAGACCTTATCCACACCAAGAGGTATAGCTCACACTAACAGCGTTTCTCATGTTCAACACACACCTCAAGCAGCAGACAATAGAAACTCCTCCTTTATCCAGACATCTTTTAAACACAACTGCATCTCCTCAAATGAGGAGGCTCAAAGCGAACGGTCAGAGACGTTACGTTTCTGCACCGTGAACTGCTCAGACAGATGAAAACACAGCCTTGTCGGCACATTCACTCTGTGTCCGAGCTGACGAAAGGCAGTGGTACTCACAGCTGGGTGAGCTTCGGAAGCTGGAAGGCTCGGATAGGGATCTGGCTGATGCGGTTTCGGCTCAGTCTCAGAATCTGTAGAGTTGGACCCAGACGATCCAGAGCGCCGAGCTCCAACACACTGATCTTGTTGTTACTGAGGTATCTGAACACACATTCATTCGTCATTCATCTCACGAATCATTTTATGAAGATTTTGTGCAAGGGGGGGGAAATAAAATCTGTGTCCTTAGGTACTTACAGGTCTCGGATTTGAAGGCCTGCAGGAAAGTACTGCCCTCGAAGCTCGGTGATGTCATTATTGCTCAGATCCAAGGTTTCCAGAGAAACCAGCTCTCTTATCCGCTGACCATCAACGCTGCGGATCTTATTATGATGTCTGAAAAACAAAGATCACATAGAGCATTAGGTGTGGTCAGCAGTTACCTTGTTAACCGTTCACGCACTTCCATAAATCAATGTATGGGGACACTACTCAAGTCCTCCTGAGCTCTCTAAGCCCACTCAGGCACAGAGAGAGCAGAGTACACAGAATAAAGTGGCCTCCGTCCACCACTAACTTCCATTAAGAGCTCCCAAACAGAAGCTGGCCTTTTATAAACAACTCCGAGGTTAAAGAGACGGTCACAAATCGTGCGATGGTATGAACTGATACGCCTGCGTCGTTAAAGAAGCTCTGTCCTCGATCAACGACCTCAAGACAACTGACGAGATGAACAAAAAATGTAAACAAGCTTGAAAAGTTGCAACTGAATAAATACTCGTGCTGCTGATGTGCCTGATGGAGAGGGAAAAAGAGAGGATGCTTCCTGTCAAGTTTTACAAGCTGCTCTGAACAACAACAGTCTAACATCAAGGTTCATGCTCAATAATCCAGGTAAAAAAATCCAACAAAGTTCTGTCAGGTCATCTGGACGGTTTCTTTTTTTGTTGAGACGTTTCTTCCAAAGGCCTTCATCAGTCAGAGGAGCCACCAAACAAACTGTGTTCCACAAACAGCACACTCACAGTGGGTCAACCAGTTTGCTGGTGATAAGATGGTTTCTGGGACGCTTTTTTTTTTGAGACGCTTGATCCTTCATCCAAAGGACTTCATCAGACCAGGGGGGGACTGGGGGGGAGGAGAGGGCAGGCCCCAGAAACCATTATCGCCAGAAAACTGGTTGGCCCACTATGTAATTGTGCTAATTATGGGACTGAGTTTGTGGCTCCTTGGACTGATGAAGTCCTTTAGATGAAGGACAATACGTCTAAAAAAACAAAACAAAAGAAATCATCCAGATGACCTGACTGAACGATGTTGAATTTTCTACCTGGATTATTGAGCGTGAACTTTGATGTGTTGAACCACTTTGGCCATGGCTGCCTCAGAGGAGTTGACAGGGGAGAGGACGGGCCCCAGAAACAATCCATCCAGATGAACTGATTGAACTTTGTTGGACTAACTTTTAGATGTTTCAATACAAGGAAACATTTTGCCAGGGTTTCGTTTTGTCCGAGAAGGTAGGACATGCCGTGCAAGAACTTGGAGGACAAACTGAACAGACTTCAGATTTTATTTTAACACTATTTAAGGGTCTTTTAACGAATGAGGGGAGTCAAATGCTGCTCCACCCTTTCCTGTACTTCTCAACATCTGTGACTGGTTATTTAGGAAACCAGAGAATAGAAAAGACAAATGAAATAATAGAGTGAAGCGGATTGTGAAACATGGTGTTATACAGTCATTTGACTCGCTACACCGGCAGCCTGGATGTATATGTTAGGAGGCTGGGGCCCCACGTTACCTGAGTGCACACGCATGAGACATGTGACCTGTGAGTGAGCGCTAACTGGGAGAGCAGGAGTTGGAATTTAATTTATCATCACTTTTAATGTGCCCAAAGAGATCTAAAAATAAAAACATACAAAAGTAAAAGAACAAGATGGGGATTCAAAAGTACTTGAACAAAATAAAATGTACTTTTCAAGGATTCATGGATTCAAGGATTTTTTTATTGTCATACCAGCTCACATTTGCATGTTTATGGTACGAAATTCAGACTCGGGTCCCAGATCAAGAAGCCTAACAATTAACAAATAAATAAATACAAACAAGTATGTATATATACATATATATATATATATATATATATATACATATATACACATATATATATATACATATATACATATACATATATACACATATATATATATACATATACATATATACATATACATATATACATATATACATATATACATATACATATATACATATACATATATACATATATACATATACATATATACATATACATATATACATATACATATATATATATACATATACATATATATATATACATATACATATAT